TCCTTGCTCCCCACAGTTCCAACAGCCTTTCTGGGTAGCAGCCTTTCCTGCTGTATCGTCTACCCTGTGTTGAGGTTTCCAGCATTGAGCTCTCTTGTGCCCAGGTTTGTTACAGTGCCAGCAAAGTCCCTCAAACTTCTCTGAAAGCTGACCTTTTCTAGCCTTGAATCCTAATGACTGTACCGACCTTGGTACCTCTGTGCTGGACTTAACGTATGGTTCAAATTCAAGAGCTCTGGCCATTGCATCCTGCATGGTTGAGGGGTGTGCTTGCTTCACTTGTATCTTAAGTTGTGGACTGTCCAAGGCGTCTACAAACTGATCTCTCAGCAACAACTTGAGGAGATCGGGTGGTGCAGTTGGGTAGGCCTTGTGTGCCATTCTTTCCAAGTCTTGTGCCAGCTGTTGCAGGCTCTCCCCTTTAGCACGGACTCTAGTCCTAAACCTAGCCCTGTAGACTTCAGACTGATTTTGGGTTCTGTATCTGAGTTCTAGAGCCGCTACCAGTGCTCTATAGTTGTGTCTGTCGTCTGCTGACAACTGTCCAAGTATTTCCAGTGGTTATCCTTTCAAGCTCGTTGCCAGATATACTGCTTTCTGCTCCTCTGTCCATCCATTCGTCTCTGCCAGGAGCTCAAATTGTGCTCTATATGCTTCCCACGGTTCCTTCCCATCGAATACCTGTGGCTTCCTTCGTACTGGTTCACCTCTATTGCTGACATTCATATCTGGGATGTGACTTCTAACAGGACTGACGATGTCTGCATTAGGGTTTAGCTGCGGGGTCTGGGGCTGATTAAGTCAATGGTTAATGCATCCTCCTTGTGTAAAAGACAATAAATCACCCTTTAATGTATCTAATTCGTTTTTAAATTTACTAATGTTTTCCATTTGTACTTCTTGCCACTGTTGTTGACTTTCCTGTAGTTACTGCTGTCTTTCCTGCAACTGTTGGAGACTTTCTTGTTCTAGTTGCCACTGCTGTAATCTCTCTTCTCGTTTCATTTCTTTTTCCTCCAACAACTGCTGTAATCTCTCTTCTTGTTTCTTTTGCTGCTCTTGTATTGCTGCCATCAAATCTGCTAAGCTGTAGTTTGATTTGCCACTTCTCGTTTCCATTTTTTTTATCTAACTTCTGACACCAATTTGTTACGTCTCTGGTCGTTAGTTAATTTTCCGTATATGTTTTTTTTTCCGAAGAAACTTTAGCGATACAAGTTCTTTCTTAAATAAAACTGGTTTATTCTTTCTGAATACAACTTTGTAATACACTTAATTTCTACAGTCGCGCTATAACTAACGATATAATTCACAACGAACGTCTCACGTACTCGACTTAACTGTCCGTATCTATCTCTGCCTGCAGCTCAGTTACATATTACATTACATTGTTGACGTCACTTCTTGGCGGCTTATATATACAAGAATATCGTATATCTAGTAACCTCTCGAGACTTCAGGAAGGGACGTGAACGTTCGAGAATATGACGTGTTACTAGCGTCACGTGACCCCCGCTGTCGTAACACTATGAATTAGAATACAAGTAACATAATTCTAATAACGTTTTTAGCGCAAAAATACACAAAATGATAACTATAAAAATCGGGATTGAATACTAGCGTGGATACATCAAATATAGCCCATTATGCAGCTTTGTGTTTAACACAACCAAACAAACATGAACTTCTAATGAAGATCCAGACTGTTGGTTGGAGTATGGTTTATCAAGTTCAAAGTGAAGACAAACTTCAATTAATCAAAGGAATAGTTATGTAGCAGGTGAGATAAATCAGAAAAAAGGCCTGCAACGATCAAAATTAATTGCAGTGTTCAACAGTAAATACAGTTAAAGTATCGCTTGCAGTGGTGCAAGAATTTTGAATAAAAAATAGTAATTGCTTCATCCTAGTTCTCCAGGTTAAGCCCTTAGGTTTGTTTATTTGTTGGCAAACACAAAGAAACTCAATGAGCTCTCTGTGCTGTGCCCAGCACGGGTATCGAGCCCTGGTATTTAGATTATAAGTCTTCAGACCTACTGATGACCCGCTAGGGGGTCGTCCTTATGTTGGAAGTTTAATTTTGATTTTTTTATGACAAATTATTTTAAATAACTCTAGGCTATGAGAGATACCTTTTGATAAAACAAAACAAATGAACCTCTTGAATTTTAATAGTGCATTCTATTTCATGGCCAGGTGGTTACGGCGCTCGACTCGCAATCTGAGGGTC